ACTCTGCGTTACGGATAGATTAAAGCATGAAAGTTGCGTTGCGAACGGGAAGTTTAGTCCTAACGTGATTTGCATTTATCAAACTTTTGCTGTGTTCTTACGCAACAAAAGTACCATTTCAGTTCTAAAGAATCTATCCTGAGCTATACGTTCGGTAGATTACTTTTTTTGAGTTTCACTATATTTAATATTTACCTGTGGTTTTGCCTCAGCTTACTATTCGGTTTGTTTTTGTTTTTCACGTATAGACCAGTTTCAGTTTATATCACTCGTTTTGTCCATTTTTATCCGTTTTCAGTGTGGTTTTTAGTGTTTTTTTAAAAGGTCTTAGGCTCTTGCAGGCATCTATAACATAGTTTGCTTCAACACAGTCATGAAAAACTCATGCAAACGTCCGGGATGCCGTTTTGCTGTCACAACTGGCATGCAGTGCGACAACTGCAATGGTTGGTTCCACGAAGCATGCACAGATCTGACACCAACTTCTTACAACAGACTCAGCAAGTCAGACCAAAAGTGGGTATGTGTCACGTGCAGCACGGACGCAGTAGTCTTGCTGAGCAACACCATTGTCCTACTGACAGGTCTTCGGAACAAGTTGTCAGTTAACTTGGTTAGCGATAGTAAAAAAACCGGTCGACAAACAAGAGCGTGCGACGGACTCAAAAATAGGGATGTCGATAGGTATACCATCGATGGAGCATCCATCAACACTAATGACGACGTGTCGAGGCTCAGCACCATCATCACGTCGACGGTACTAGACTCCCTAAGCAAACTCGGGTCTCCCAGCTCAGGGTCCCTGAACACAACAGTGGTTCCCAAAAACCCTGTAGGTGATTCGACCCACGTTAAGAGAGCCCAAAAGAACCAGACATCACCGCCTAAGCCGAGCAACCCAAGTGTTGCTGCACGGAAAATAAGTGGGGATTTGGTCGCACAGTCTACTCCCAAGACTGTTCGTCCGGTCAATAAAGAGCCCAAGGCTCAAAAACGCACACTGACCTCCAAACAACAAGTTATTAAACCTGAACTCATCGTGAAACCTGGTAAATTAACAACAGTTCGTGACGATTTTCTCATTATCATGAACCTCGTTGACAATCCTGGCCTTCCTTTCAGTCTGCAGGACAAAAACGACAGGATGCTCTGGGGTGAATTGAACAAGAAGCTCGAACTTCCTAGAATAGAGCCTTTGACGGTCACCCGGCTCACTCGAGGAAAGGATTCTAAGCATCTAAATCACCCGAGGCTTCTCCGAGTAACACTTAAGAATGCTACCGACGTAGAGGACGTCTTGCTAGCAAGTCACTTGCTAAAATCAGATGGTAACGTAAGAATATTGCCTGACATACCGCACTCTGAGCGCAATATCATACGAAACATCCCTAAAGAATCTCGCGAGAAGTTTTTCCGCGGAAGAAACATAATTGTTCAAGGTATACCGGAAAATGCAGACCCTACTCAATCAAATTCTGACATCAGGGAATGGAAATTCATCAAACAGTCCTTGAGGCTCAAACACATACTGACTCAGCATGTGACGAGACTAGCCAAGAAGGACGGTGATTCCAGACCTCGGCTAATGAAGATAACCTTCCCACATGGCGGCTGCAGTTCTGGAAATATTTCGTGCCAACAGACGTCGATTGCCACCTGGAATCCACATGCACCCGGATAGGCCATACGAAGCTAGGACCAGGAACAAAGGCAAGTTGGAGCTGACCATTCCACTTGTGGACTGTCTAAACGATAAAAAAACGTGTAAAGGACAGGGCCTACCACCTCGGCAAACCTCATATAGGTGGGGTACCTGTCCATTCACATAAGGTTCATACAGAAAAACAGGACGAAGCTCACGCGTTCCAAATTGAAAGCATAAACTGCTTATATATGAACGCCGCGAGTCTACCAAACAAACTGGATGAACTACGTGAACTTAGCAACGCTAATAAGGCGCATCTGATAGGAATATCTGAAACCTGGATATCTTCTCAGTTCTCGGACCATTAGCATTACCTGGGATGACTTTGTTCCGCAACGACAGAGAAACAGGAATTGGGGGGCGGAGTAGCCATATACATAAGCTCTTGCTTGGAGGTGCACCAAGTTCACAACCTCGAGTTTAACAATCTTGAGGAATCCATATGGTGCTCTGCAAGATTGTCTAGTACTTCGAGGTGTCTAGTCGGAGTCATTTACAGGAAGCCAACTGCCGACATCGAGTACGATAGTCGTATGCTGGAAGGACTATCCCGCTCTATCCGTCTCGGTTTCACACACATCCTGATTCTAGGGGACTTTGATCTCCCTAGAGTCAACTTCGCGGAACACACGTACACTGGAGGCGACAACTCAATTGAAGCTCGGTTCTTCAACCTCATCGATAACTTGGGCTTATATGAAAATGTGAGGTCGGCAACTCGTTGGAGAAACAGTCAGACACCATCGCGCTTAGACTGTGTATTCACTAACGAAGAATTTCTAGTCGACAACCTCTCAATCCTGGCTCCTCTGGGAAAGAGCGATCATGCCGTCATAGCCTTCAGTTTTGTCATCAAAACTAAGCTAAGGTATCCCAACAATAATTTGCGTTGGAATTTTAAACGGCTGAATGTGCCAGCTCTACATGACTATCTACAACAGGTGGTTTGGGATGTTCACCCTCAACTCGATGTGGATGGTCATTGGGACATCTTACTGCACACGCTCTTATGTGCTACAGACCATTCAGTTCCTCAAACGGTTCCAAAAAGCTGCAAGCCACCTACAGTAATCAAGAACCGTACCCTTCGCCTGCTAAGCCGCAAAAAACACTGTTGGGCGGAATACAAACGAACTAATAACGATGAAGCGTATAGGCAATATAAACATATCAGGAACATATGCACGAAGGCTATAAGAGAAGACAGGCTTCAGTACCAAACAAAGCTTATGGACAAATTCGCCTCTAACCCTAGAAGCCTATTCCGTTATGCAGCCTCTCTTCGTCAAGCCAAAACAGGAGTTTCTCAACTGCTAGGTCTTAACGGCCCGACCAACAACGATGGCGACGCCGCTAACCTTCTGGCGGCACATTACTCAAACATTTCAACCGGCTGACATCAACTTTATTGACGACAGTTTCATCTGCAGTTCCACAGGACTTTCTGAAGTAAACCTAAGCGCTGACTTGGTGATCCGGAAATTGCAGCACTTAAGACTAGATACTTCTCCTGGCCCGGATACGGTTCATCCTGCCATACTGAGTGAGGCAGCCTCAATCCTGGCAACGCCGCTTAGCGTGATGTTTTCACACTCGCTTAGCCGAGGCAAATTACCGGAAAATTGGAAGTTGGCTCACATCACACCAATTTTCAAAGGAGGTCGACGCAATGAACCTTCAAGTTATCGACCGGTGGCTCTTCTGTCATTACCTTCAAAACTCATGGAGTCCCTGATATGCGACGGTTTAAATGACTATCTACTGTCCTTAAATTTCTTCTCACCCCAACAGCATGGTTTCAGGAAGGGTTACTCTTGTATAACCAACCTGCTGACTGCGGTGGACAGATGGACAAGCATCCTCGATTGCAAGGGAAAGGTTGATGTCATTTACCTTGATTTCTCAAAAGCTTTTGATAAGGTTAACCACTTGTATCTTATCAACAAGCTCAAACGACTAGGTATCAAACCACCCCTAATCGATTGGCTTACTTCATACCTAAAAAATCGACTCTTTAAGGTTAGGGTTAATTTCACTTTATCTCAGGCTACGGAATGTCCTAGTGGGGTCCCCCAGGGCTCAGTACTAGGACCTCTTCTCTTCTTGATCTACATAAATGATCTCCCTCGACAGGTAACGTCAGATTTATTACTTTTTGCCGACGACGTGAAACTTTGGAGAGAGATACGCAACCAAGACGATACACAGGCACTTCAGGAGGATCTGACTCGACTTCAAAGTTGGGCAGACGATAACGGACTTACCTTTAACACTTCAAAGTGTAAAGTAGTCCATCTGCGACATGTGGCAAACTACAGTTACAACTTAGGAAACTCCTCTCTAGTAGTATCCCAAGTCGAAAAAGATTTAGGAGTCCTGGTGCCCCATGACTTAAAGTATAACGCTAACTGTGACAAAAATGCCTTCCGAGCAAACCTTGCACTGGTAACGTTGAGGCGCATTTTTGGCCAGTTTGACGGACGAACTTTCCACACAATCTTCAATAGTTTCATCCGTCCCCATTTAGAGTACGGAAATATAGTCCTCCCCCCCCACTCCAAAAGGACAAGGTCACTTTGGAGCGTATCCAACGGCGAGCCACGAAATCAGTTCGAGGACTCAAATCTAAGCCTTACGAAGAACGCCTCCGTTCACTAGACCTTTACCCATTAGAATATAGGCGTCTTAGAGGTGACTTATTAATGGCTTATAGTATTCTTAACACTTCTGGACATCCTCTTAAACACCTACTTAAGCTTAGTTCGAATAATAACCTAAGGGGTAACACCCAGAAACTGGAAACACAACATAGCAAGACGGAACGTAGACACAACTTCTACTCCTTAAGAGTTGTCAAAAGCTGGAATTCGCTGCCGGCCGAGCTAGTCCAAGCGACTTCTCAGGAGTCCTTCAAGAGGCAACTTGACCTATTCTTAAGGACCAAGGACAGCATCACACTATGATTTACCAATTTCTTCTCCTCTTTTATTGTTAACATACCTCGGTTCCTGCCTGGAGGATTTGGTGATCCCCTGCTACTAGACACGGAAGCCTGTTAAGCGAAAGCTTCTTCTATTCCGTCCACAACCATTTGAACCATTTGAACTTAAAGGGTTCGCAACGATGTTAGGTAATTCTTTTATTAGCGTAGAATGCAATTCATCGGGCTCCTAATTCGTATACGGCTTCTGACAACCGCCACTATCCAAACGGAGTTAGCGTAATTAAAGGATAATAAGTCAAACGGAGGACTTATATTAGTAGTTCAGTCATCAAAGTTTGATGATAGAATATTACTCACATTTCAAATTGTACGTTACATCGAGTGCACGTGTTATGAGGCTGAACTTTAAGGTAATAGTGGTCTGTGAATCTTCTTGATTGAAAGTTCAAAAATCTTTTTGGAACAGCCTACAAGTGTGGATCCATTGTTTTTACGAACAATGGCTTGGGTCTTTTGAGCCCAGTTGGCAACCAGATAACAGTTTTTGATCTTAAGAAGTAATTGTTTTGAGTATTCCTGATCGATGTCTTTTTAAGAGATGAAGTAGCATCTATTGATATTTCCTCGTTCCACGATGTGCACCACTTGGCGTTGTCTCCTTCAATACCTCTTCTAGTCGCCATTAATGAGGGTAATATGTTATTGAATGTGACCAATGGCTGTTATTAATAGTTGGTGATGCGTCTTTATGCTCACTCTCCACAGGAGCTGTGATATCTGTGTATCCTTTCAAGGGAGTGGTCTTGGCTGTTTCCTTCAGCCCAGATGGAAAGTAAGTTGCCATTGTATTCCTACTTATTTTAGGTTCTTGGCTGTTGCAAAAGGTAATAATGTGATGCTTTTCTTCGCACCCTCTCCAAACCGCCAGTTTAATCATTTGGAACTCTATCGCGTGTTTTACGGCTTTACAGATAACGTTACTTGTATTGATTGGTCTCGTGATTCTAGGTAAACCCATAAAAATAATAATCTGTTCAGGTTTTTCATTGCTGGATCAGTCGATTCCACTATCCGGTTATTCTCGGTGTACAATATACCCAAAATATTCGTCTACACACTAGCTGGACACAAAAACCCTATTATGGGGGCATTCATACTTCATAACTTTGTAAATATATTAACAGTCAGCTCTGATGGCGTATTATGTTTCTGGGAGGCAAACGTTTCTCTTGATCAGATGAAGAGCATTGATGACTCAAAACCTGTCTCATTATTTAGGATCAGCAATAGGTGAGTCTAGTATAAAGTCATATGCTTATGCTTTTTATTCCTTATATGGTTAAATTGTATACGAATAATTTATGGTGTTTACACGATGTAGAAATAAAAACTTGATTCCTCTTGAGCTAGTTTTTATGGTCGGAAACAAATTGGAAATTCAACAAAATACCTGGACATTCGATAACTTTCGTTCAAATTATCTTCGTAGTTTGCTGTAATCAGTGTTACTAGTCCTGAGCCTGACTCATTTACGCACTCACCTTTTTTAAAATATAGTCTCAAAATCATTCATGAACTAAATTTGGGATGCTCGTCAGCTGCGAACAAATAGATGGTCAAATAATTTGCACCAACCACCAGCTCGTCTAGCAGTATCTTGTTATATTTTTATTTGCAATTCAGCTGCATCGCAGTTACATAATAGTTGCGATAAAATATTACTGTATATAGTTCTAAAACGCTGAGATATTGAGAGGACTAAAAGTAGTAGTGTTCATCGCTGTGTGTGATTGAATAAGACTTAAGTATTTCATTGATCAAAACGTTTATGGTGTTATAACTTCCTGGAACAGTTCGTACTGTTCTATAAGATGCCAAAGCTAGTGGTGTCATTGGCATGTTAGGATGCTTTCGGTTTTCAGTCAATGAAAGTATAGGTGGAATACAACCGGGTTTACATCTATCTTCATGACTTTTTGCGATCCCATTTATTTAAACTAAAAACAAGCGAATACTGGCTAAAATCTAGTTGAGAATCCTCCTTTCTGGTTTTTATTCCATCTCTAATTTGCTAAGTATAAGCTCATATACTTTGCTTTTAATCTCACTTCAAGTACCAGTCACTGTGACTAGATGATTACTGAAACTTAAGTATGTCAAGAAGGGCTGGGACCTGCTATCTAATTGTTAAGAGTTAAACACTGTACCCACTAAGTTCCTGCATTCTTGGCGAAAAGCTGTTGTTCAGTCTTTGGAAACATAGTTCTCATAGGTTGGCTAGGGAAGACTATGTTACTGTATGTAATTAGTTTCTATATGGCACCCCCATATGTAGCATACATCAATGATACAAGTTTTTAAGGAATTGGCTGGTGAAGCATGTACAATTATACGTTTTTAAATTTTAAGAGCTCCAACAGTAAAACTAAATATCCATTTCCAGGTGCGTTGATCACCCGAAATAACGCAGAAAAACTAGATGGCTAAGTTTATCGAAAGCCAACTCATACAAATCAAATTCTAATTGCAGTAGCAACAACCTAACAGCTCATAAGTTCAACCGCGTGTGAACTCAGTCAGTCACAACGTAGAACTTAGTACGTACGCATATCGGTTCAAGTTGCCATAACCATTTAATTCAGAGTCGAATTTGTCAGTCCAAATCGGAGTATAGTAGAGGTGGTGACAGTACTAGTGATGAACCAAATACGAAGGTTATTAAAAGAAGGAAAATGCACTACAGCACAACCAACACAGAAATAAAATGAAATGCCCAGTGACGGTTATGCAAATGAGCAGTTGCCTACGTAAATCGTCAAAAAGATGCATAGTCGACTCACTAATAATCACTAAATCGAATGTGAAAGTCAACAAACGGATCATCCTATCGTAAATGAAGATGTCGGAAATCGCAACAAGATTATTGAGACAATCTGGGATGGGTGTAGTGCATAAGCTAGCAAAACCACCCTATCAATTTCATACAAACCAGAAAATGAAATAACAAGTAAAAAAGCCAAACATCATCTACAAGCTAAACTTCTAAAACTGAGTGGAACATTATATCGAAAAATCCTCGTCTGCATGGACACTAGTCATCTGTCAAACCCCACAAAGTATCTCCGCTTGTATCAATGCACCCAGATAGTCGTGGGTAAGCGTTCGATTGGAGAAATATTAAAGTATTGGACTTAGTAAATATAAAGAACGTAGAAATTTTGAAAGTCCAATACTCGGTTCCATCAGCAACCAATAAACATATTGGGATCTAACTGATTTGTCAGATAGAAAAATCATAAACAAGGTCAAGTATTCAGATAAGAGGGGAAGACGACCAAAATAAATACACAATGACAGGAAAATTGTATACAATGAGCGATCAAGTTAATCATTGACACAAGTTGTTATTCATATGTAATGGAATTCTAGTAGCTCAATTCTATCTGGAATTTATACTGAAGATTTCGTCTAGGATAATAACTAAAACGTCAAAATTAGACTACCCGGCTTAGTGAATGAAACTTGACCAATATGTGAAAATGTACATAGTTATAAAATATACAAAACACCATCTGCACACATTCTTGTTGTCAAAATCATAAGGTAATGAATCATTCATTTTGTATAAGTTTTAATGATGCTACCTAGCTATCTAGCCCCCAAATGCCCTGGTACGGCCGAGAGTGGGGAGAGTCCGCTCTCCCTCTCGAAATGCTCTCACATGGCCACGCGTATATAGCCTCTGCCAGGGAAATCCTACTCACTTCCTTCTCGTGGCGGGGGTGTTGTTTACAAAAATGAGAGGACGAAAAGCGAATGTCCGGCGCTTTAACCGGATTCCAAACCAATGGTGCACATGGGCTCCAGTATTCTGAGGGAACAAATGGCGTATGAACCAATCGTTGGTCACCGGCTACCATGTGACTGCATCTCCTCACGATGCTCCACTGCCTTGTGGATCAAACCTTCAGGTCGAAGGCTCGGGGTGTGGCCCCCTAAGAAAACCACCTGCTTCGATCTGGGCACCCGGACAGTATCACAGCCCTCACACATATCGAATGAGACTTGTGTGGTGCATATGTATTTGGTGCCTCCTTGTACCAATATTTGTGTGTTAAAATAAATAAATAATTTAGCTGATCTGATGTTGGTGAGTAAAGTGACATTCAAATACATGAACCTCTGGTTGATAGTTAGGAGTTTAAATCAAAGTGGAAAGTTGACTTAAAATTGTTCTATTCTTGCTCCTTTTTTAAGAGACATCACTTTCAGTGATTGTTTATTGGTATTATTATCATCAGAAAAGTTATTTTGTGTTTAAGAGTATCCAGGTGCTTAATAAATCCTTGATTAAGGTTACTGAAACTAATTCAAAATCATTTTGGTCACGCGTAACACCGTTCATCTTGAATTTATTCAATTTTTCTATCTGTTTTCAGATACCGTTATACAAACTCTAACGAAGTGCAAATCAACGATCCCGTTAGTGCAGTGGCATTTCATAAAGATTTAAAAATGCTTGCAACTGGGTTTGAATCAGGGTTACTTTTACTACATACATTTCCAGACTTCATAATAATCAGTGAAGTAAAGTAAGATGTTACATTTTTAAAATCTATTATATATTTTTTAAACAGTAAGAACACAGGTCTACAGAATAAAGTGAATTCATTCTGTTTCACGGTTTAAATAAGTGTTCAAAAAGAAATAAAATCATAATAATAAGAATAGGATACAAATTGTGTGTACACTTTCTATTTTTGAAGAATTTATTTGAATTCAATGTACAGTGTTTTATATTGGTGATAGAAACTCATTTCTTTTTCATTCGCAGTCTGTTCACTAACAGTATAAGCAGTCTAACGATTAACCGTAATGGTGATTGGATTGGTGCAGGTTCAGAGCTATTCGGACAAATTGCTGTTTGGGAATGGAGATCGCAATCCTGCTACCTACGCGCTGATTCCCATTCTAAGGAAATGACTAGTTTGGCGTACTCTCCTGATGGTTTACATTTGGTAACTGGGGGTTATGATAACAAAGTGAAAGTTTGGCGTATATCTGGTGGCAGGTGTGTTGTAACCTTTACTGAGCACACAGCTGGTGTTACTGGAGTTGCATTCCCAGCTCAAAATTCCAAAGTCGTTTTGTCAGCCAGTTTGGATGGGACCGTTCGCGCTCATGATTTGATTCGGTATGTTTTTAGTCGTCTTCTAATACATATAGGGTTGAGGGAAATAGTTGATTAACATTTGTTCTTTGCTTTCCGGAATATACTTGTAAGCAAAGTAGTTTGTTTATTTACTAGGTAATTTGATTTGCATCGTTACTAGGTAACTAAAGAATTCATATTAGTGTCCGACACCAGTCGAAACACAAAATAATTGTAAGCCATATTTTTCTGCATCTAACTGAACTTATAACGGTCTACAGTTGTTATAAGTGATACATAGATTTTAAGAGGTTATCACTTTGATCACTGAAGTACTCGTTTCTGTACATCGTCATATGATAACGGTTTCCAGACTGCGAATTATTACCTAAAATGGAAGGCTAAGTTTTTTCGAGCTTACATTACGATTACATTCAATATAACTATGAAAATTGTTTTCCAGGTACTTTCAGTTTGATAAAAATATAAATTAATACCAACCAAAATCCAATCTAACCAGTTTGATTACAGTTTTCGCCCTTACTGAGACTAACTCATTGGTCATCTAGTCGCTAAGTAAGTGTATGTAAAGCATCGCCTAGAAATTCTGAGATACGGAATTTATTTTTACTGTTAGTGTAGATGTAGAGATCATCATTAGTTATCCTTCAGCATATGTGTTGCATTGTTATCAAGTGTATTTTATTTATTATTAGCTTCTGTGTAATATTAATTTTTGATGATGATTTGAGTCAGTCAATTTATGTACTTCTCGAAAAATCCCAAGTCAGGCATATCCCTTCTTAAGTTGCAGTAAACCATTAGACCAAGTGTGTCAGAATAAAGTTTTACAGTCCAATTAACTAAAAACTTCTCAGAGAAATGTAAGTCATTTGTGAGGCTATTTGTCTGCTGATTATTATTTATTTATTTATTTGGACACATGAATATTGGTACAAGAGAGTGCCAATATATATGCGCCACACAAAACAATGAGAATGCGAAGAGAAATAGAAAACAAAAACTAAGGAGCGCAAAAGAAAAAGAGAACAATAACGAAGAGATTGGTGTAAGGTAGTATGGTAGTAACGAGGGAACGGAAAGGTACAATCAGAAGAAATCTTTCAGGTAAGGGAGACACAACCACTTTATGAAGAAAGTAAAAGAAGGTTACAGCAGGATCGCCACTGGTTTCTATTCTGAGCCATATCTGATAACGTCTCTAGCCACTGTGTAGCACCATCTCTCAGACCCCAACCAGGGAGTCGTGAAGGACCAACAGAAGCCAGTCCTTTGCAGCTTTCTTTCATGCCACGACACCATGTCATGCACTGACCACCTCTCCGCTTCTTCCAACCAGTCCCAAAGTCGGCAAATAATGCACGATGTGGAATTCTCAGGGACGACATTCGTAGAACATGTCCAAGCCACCGAAGTCGGTGTTTCAAGATGGTGAAACCAATTGAATTATCATCTCTGTGCCCGAACACACGATGCCGAACCCCTGCATTACTCACATGGTGTTGCCACTGAATGTCAGCAATCCTTCGGAGACAGCGATGATCGAACACAGAGAGTCGTCTAACATCCTCAACTCGGAGAGACCAGGTTTCACAAGCATAGAGCAAAACTGCTCTCACCGACGCGTTGTGGATCCGACCTTTTACAGCCAGACTAACATCACGAAGGCGTCAAAGGTGGCCCAGATTGGCATAAGCCGCTCTGGCTTTCACTATTCGTGCATTGATCTCATCACTCACACCACCACCAGCACTTATGCAGCTACCCAGATACACGAACTTCTCGACTACTTCTATCTGCTCACCATCCAGAGTGAGTACAGGATTGGAATCCTGCCAGTCTTGTAGAAGGACTTTGCACTTTGAAGGTTCAAAGCACATACCATACCTACGGACACTAATTGCCAACTGATTAAGTGCGGATTTCATGGCTTAGGCATTATCGCACAGTAAGACAATATCGTCCGCATACTCAAGGTCGAGAAGTCTTTCTTCAGGCAACAGATCCACACCGCCATTACTTACATCCATCAGAGCTGTTTCCAGAATATCGTCGATGGCAAAGTTGAAGAGGAATGATGAGATTGGGCAACCCTGCCTAACCCCACTGCTCGAATAGAACAATGGAGAAAAGTGGTTGTATGCCCTCACTCTGCCTGAGGTGTTTGTATATAGGGCTTTTAGGTTGTTATTAAACTTCTCAGGCACACCCTTCTTCAATAGACAATCCCAGAGAACAGCCCTGTCCAACGAATCGAAGGCAGCCCTGATGTCAAGAAACACTACGATTGTTGGCCTTTGATAGGTATGGCGGTGTTCTAACATTTGGTGGAGGGTGAAGATATGATCAATGCATCCTCGACCAGAACAAAAACCAGCCTGCTCCTTGCCAGTCAATCTTTCTCGAGTTTTGAACAACCTACGAAGTATGACGGAAGCCAATAGCTTGGACACAATCGGAAGTAGACTTATCCCCCGATAGTTGTTACAGAAAAGATGTGAACCCTTTTTAAAGATAGGAACAACTATCGACTCATTCCATGGTGTTTGAACACTCTCTAGTTCCCAAACTTTTGTAAACAACGTCGTCAATTCCTTAGTCAAAAAGTCACCACCATCTTTAAAAGGAGCCGGAGGTAAGTCATCTGGGCCAGGTGATTTGTAACGCTTCAAGAGTTGGAGTTCCTTGCGGACTTCCTCCTCGTTTGGTGGATCAGTCGTCACCGGCCATGGAGGGCAGGACAGTCTGACCGATGTTGCCGGAGCAGCAGGCCAGTTGAACTGCCCTTCGAAGAATTCTGCCCACCGTCCAAGACGTTGATGGGTGTTAGTGATTGGCATCCCATCATCCTCGCAGATCGTTTCACTCACACCAGACTTCTTGCTGCCAGTGGCTCGGATGAGCTGGAAGAGCTTCCGGTAGTTACTGCTGATTATATCCGTTATTATAATATAGAGAAGTATTCAATGTTAATAAGAACAACTTTTAATCATGATTTCATTGTTATACAAAAATGAAGATAAGTTTATATTCTTATACTCAGAATGGCAACGCTGTCCCTAAGGCGTGAAGTGGAGTGTTTAGTTTGTGCAAGTTTACTCATACTGTGTTTAGTTTCGATATTAATATTTAGGTTAATCAAGAAGAATTGCTCCCAATCTCTTTTGTTGCACAAACTTTAGTTTTATTTTAACGTTTATTGTAACAAACAAGGTTCTAAGATTTTACTATCGATGAATATATTTTTCTAACCGAATGTTACCTATCCTTTTAAATTAATGTTTTAGAATTTCCACAAGAAGTTGATAATAATTATTTTGGTATACCAGTCTAGAGTTATAGAAAATACTTTGATATTTATTCAGTATTTCGTCAGTCTTTGCAAGTAATAGATGCGTGAAGTTTACATGTCATTTTTCGGATTTTAAGCATAATGATATAAGAATACAAGTGATATAAGCCCCATTCACGCAGCGTTTGTTTTGATTTAAATAGAGATTTGATCTTTCTACTGCCCATACGGTTGTTACAGTTCGTGATCTAGTAAGTAGTCATTCACATTTCCTATTTAATAGCCAAGTACTGATGAATATTCAGTCGATTATGAAGTGTTTCATAATCTATTATGTATCTCAAGAATCTAGCCAGATATTTGAATTATAATTGGCGATTTCTTTAGATTTCGAAACTAAACGAACGAAAATACTCTATAAAAGTTCATTCAAACTTTGTGTTATTTCAAGGAATAAAAGCTTTTTATTCTGTACCAGAGCTTGTTATTCTCTGAGTGTATTTGTTTTTTGTCATTATTGTGTCTAAAGCTACAGGAATTTCCGTACATTCACTGTGCCTACTCGTCGCGTTCAGTTCTCGTCGTTGGCTGTTGATACGCGTGGCTCTCTTGTTGCTGCTGGAGGTCTGGATACTTTTGAAGCTTATGTATGGTCAGTTAAGACGGGTCAGCTGTTGACTACCTTAACAGGGCATACTTCTCCCATTAGTGCACTAGCATTTAATCCTGCCATTTCTGGTATTGATATCGAATTGGCTACTGTTAGTTGGGATTGTACGCTTCGATTATGGGATGTTACAGGCAATTCGACTGATGAAAATAATTTATCTAGTATGGGTCTTACAAAAGAGGTTGTTAATTTTTCATGTGATGGTGAGTTACTTACTTAACTTGTCGAACAATATATTTAGGTTCTTAATGTAGCTCATCTAATTTGACGATAATGTGAATTTATGAAAAGTTACCTCTACACACATGAAATTATGAAGTCAAGAAGCAACTATCGATTTGCATTTAATTGGTGGTTGTTTATTTGACTTATGGCCAAGTGGATATAAGTTGTCATTTGGTGATGAATATACTTTACAAAACATTGTTGAATACTAGTCGTTCTAGTATTCATGTTGCTTCATGTGGTCGTCCAGACCTCATGAGTTACATAGAAATAAGATCTCGCCACATACAAAAGGAATTTTATGCTTTTTACAAATTATGCCATTTGTAATGCAGGCTGAATACTCATCTTTTTATTAACAAATGCGTACCGCACAGGATATTGACATGTCTTTCTTCATGGCTGTAACTTTATCTGTAAAGTTGGAAGACGTTTAGGTTGTCGGTATTTGAATATCATTGTCTTCAAAAAATTCCTTGTTTGATGGAAACGCTAAGGAATTAATGGTAATTTTCTTCGGATAATCCTAGGTATAATTGGTTAATATGTTTATAGGATTGGGAAGCGGTTAAACTGTTCCAAATCGATTCACTTATCGACTTTTGTTGTGAATTGTGTAGGGGAGTAGAAACTTGGTTATAATCCGTGATATAAACGTGGAAAATTATTTTTAAAAAGTCTCAAATTTGTTTCCTTTGGTTCCCATTTTTTGCAGTTACTGTCGGTATCGGTATTTTTGATCCTTTACGTGTTCTCACGTTTATTAGTTGGTGTATAATGCAACACTTAGGTCGATAAACATAGGTGTTTATTTCCACCTTACTTCTCGTTGTTTTGATGTGATTTCCACGATAATCTGTCAACGTCGGTATTATCTTCAATATTGTTTGTAGAGAACATCCTACCATCAAAATGCTATAGTTTCTTGTTTGTCCATTACTAATTAGCTGTAATGGCAAACGGTTGACGAAATAGATCCTTTTCTTTCAACTTTTCTTTGTAACTGGATTCACGAAAATATTCTGTTGTAGATATTCGTTTTTCACTATTGAAGGAAAGCTAATGGTTGTAATGGGTAATCTTGAAGAGAAATTTTAAACTATGATCCAGTCAAATCTGTTAGATGAAACGTTTAAAGATCAGTCAAAGTCGGAAAATATCTTTTTTATGAGAGATTGCGTTGAGTATGATGAAAGTAAAATGGTTAGACTGCATTATTTCCTCATAACAATCCCACCATCAACACATTTCATTGTGATGAAAACTAAAGCATATGTTTGCAGAGGTCTAATCGGTTTGTTATTACAAGAATTCATACACCTAGATAAAGGTATATATTAAGTAAATAGGTTATTACTCTACTCAACAACCTTTTAGTCGGTGCCCAGAAGAAGCCCATCATATCATGTGTTTAAACTCCTGTCAGTCATTCTTTGTGAACTTTATGTAGAGTTAGGGCTTATAATCACTGCCTTCTTTATTCTTTAGTTAGGTTTTGAGAAAACTTCACCACTAAAGGAGATTTACAAAATTTAGTGGGTCTAATTTGTCTAATTACAGAAGGCTTTATTTTAGGCACTGGAATATATACTACTTTTGAGTAGATCAAGTGAATTCACAAAAATTACATACATTTGTTTGTTAACTATGCCGCATATTTCGCATTTCAGTTTTACACAGACAAGACTATTTTATCTTTGTAAATGCCAGAAAGTTAGTGTGCACAGTTCAAATATTTTTAGAATAAATGGTATAAATGGTTGTTAGTACCATACAACTAATGGCAAATGCAGCAGTACTTATAGCTATATTGTGCTAGATTTTGTATACTTTGGATGATAATCAAAACTGTTATCATGAGTATTTAGTCCAGCACCATATGCAAAACTAAGTCGATGCTGATCATCGTGGACTTCCATGAATCCGCTAAAGTTCTGATTATCATCCCAGAGCTTGTTCACATATGCTCCACATCTTTTTCATTGTAAAAATTGGGAACTCAAGTTCGGAAGTTCTAACTAGGTTATCGTTGCATAAATATCATTCTAAATAAAGGCGAATAAGGTTAGTACATACCTAAAGTCCATGAACCAGTGTCATGCTTTGCCGCATAATTATACTCCCATACCATTGGAAAAATGATAAGTTCGAACACCAACTGTCAAAAGCCCCATGCACTGAGCAACCAACCTCCAGTAAAACGAATGTATTTATCAGCTGTACAAAATATATGATGCACCATATGCTACATGTAACACAATACAATTGTGGTGTATGCTAATTATGCTGGTAGACATAATTAGCATGTAGGAGCAATCGAAAATGGAATACACACATGCACAAGATTGAATTAAAGAGAATGGGGAAACAGAGAGCAATTCGAATAACAACAGAATTGGAAGAGTCACGAAGTATTTAAAGGAAAAATAAAGGGAGATGTGCAAATAATTTATTTAATGTGTGATTTTCATGTTTTACAAGGAGATCGTGTAATTTTGCATTAAACAGTAAATTAGTTTTTCCCACCGAGTCTTCTATCACTACACATTTGGTGCCGTTGTCTACCAAGATGCGGAATAATGTTACTTTTTCAATGTTTCGTGTAACGTATTTTCACTTACAAATTCATACTTAATTTAGATACGACTATGGAAATCTAAAAGCGAAGTGATATATTCACTTTATTGGTTAGTGGTTCTCAGGGATAAAAGCGTAGAATATATCTGCAATGTAAATCATTTCAATATAGAACTTAACGTAACTGATTTATGAATTGTCAGAATCGTATTTCCCAGTGAATATTCTAATGCCACAGGTAGTATTTTGTCCGTACACCCTACTATTTATATTCAACTATTTAGTTGTATTTAGTTTCGTTTTGCAGTTTGATTTTCTTCAGTAGCAATAATTATTTCGAGATTGATCATCATATTATATTTAGAAAGTCCTTATTGTTTTTTTTGTATTGAATTGTAGCTTTATACGTTGTATATCGAGCTGATGGTAAGCAGCTGGCTATTTCCCTTTTAAATGGAAATATAGTTTTTTATGACCCTAATGAAGGGGTTGAAATGGGAACCATAGATGGTCATCGGGATCTTGGGGTAGCACAGACTAGTGAGGAAGACTTAGTTACCCCACGTAGAGCAGCCGAATCTAAGTATGTTTATTATAGTGTATCAAACATAGTTTTATAAATGCTTTTTTAAAAGAATATTTGGTATCTTGTTTAAAACCCGAGCATCGTCAGAAGCTCTGAAAATATCTATCATAAAATTATATATCAGTATCACAAAGCTAACAAAAAAATAAAAATAATCAAATAATGATTCTTCAAATAAATAGGAACTCATTGTTTCCGATTAAATTTATAGTTAACATCAATCTGTGACGTAAATTATCTTCAAAAATATACTTAATTAGCCATAACTAATGCTTTAGTTTGTCTGTTTGACTATACAAACTTAAATATTTTTATTACATATTCTTGTCAATAGGAAATTCCAAACTATAGCTTATTCTGTCGACGGTGAACATTTAATAGCAGGTGGAGATTCAAAATACATATGTCTCTATTCTGTTCCTGATAAATTATTAATTAAACGATTTGAAGTCACATGTAATCTTTCACTAGCTGGAGTTCAAGAGATACACGATCGACGTAACTATTTACATCGTTTCAGTATGGAAACAATGAACGCCAAAGAAGCACAACGTCCTAGTTTGCGAATCCCATCAAGCATTAAGGGTGAAGATCGTAGTCGTCGCCAGTGGAGACCTGAAGTGAGAGTTTCTGCAGTTGAATTTTCACCTACAGGTACATTGACAGATTTTTGTTGGTCCCAATTTTCAACTTTTTGATTATTTATCAATAGTTACATGTTTTATAAAATATATATCACATCTATAATCAGTCTAATCCTTAACTTATATCGTTCTACGCTTTATGTCCACAGGTGATTCATTCGCAACTGCCACTACAGAAGGTATTCTTGTATATTCCTTACCATCTGCTGGAACAGGATATGGCATAAGTAGTATTTTTGGTGCTTCAAGCTGTAGTGATAGTGGTTGGTTGTTTGATACATTAGGTATTGATGAACAAACCACTCCATCAAACGCTCGTAGTGCACTCGTTCAAGGTAGACATGCAGAGGCGTTGGACATGGCTATTCGGTTGCAATCGCATGAACTTGTTGAGGAAGTCATTGAATCAATTCCCGTTGACCAAAGTAAACATTACTTAGATCATTTTACATATATATATTTTTACCTGTCAGCATTAAATCTCTTCATTACTGGCATGATCTAGCTATTGAATTTGCTTGATCAAATCGGTCATAAATTTTTAAATTTTCAGATTTATTCCTAATAATCTCATGGTACATAATATTAAAAAGATTTGCTGGTATTTAATTGTGGTTAGACTAACCGTATTTCTAAATGTCATCATGGTCAGTGATTCAGTTCTCTATCCTTCAATGACCTTATGTTCAGTTTTTCTATTGCAACTGTAACTCATATGAGAGTAGATAGCTGTCGCATTGTCTTGTACTCATTTTTTCTATTTCGTACAGTTTATACTGAAAACGATCTTAGTTGTAGTAAATTCGAGTAAGATGTAAAACAGTTAAGACAATCAGCATAGTCAAAGGGCTGTCGTTATCACTTTTGAGTATTATTATTTAATACTATTTATGCTATTTTTAAGTCTAAGTAACTGAATAATTCCATTCATCAGTACGTAAGTGGGCAGTATATGCCCTTGAATAACGGGAGGTGAGATATTATTGTGGAAATTTCATCTTATTTGATTTAGGCCTCGACATAATTTATTTATGATTGGGTAAGCATCCTTGGGTGACATTTCTTTCGTCCCATAAAAGCAGTTAAGTTTTATGTAATTTATATTTCGGTTTCCTGTGATAAAGCTGGAAATTGTTAACAATTAGTGATATAAACAGCCTCAGTTGATGATGTTAACTACTGCACGTTTTCATAAATAATGAGATTATTTTCAGAGTTCTTGCAAACGAAAAAGGACCTAACAGCTGTTCATATTCGTCTTACTGTATGATGATGCCCAAGCCATGCAATCCGCACTTAATCAGTTGGCAATCAATGTCCATAGGTACGGTATGTGCTTTGCACCTTCGAAGTGCAAAGAACTTCTACAAGTCTGGCAGGATTCGAATCCCGTACTCACCCTAGGTGGTGAGCAGATAGAAGTAGTCGAGAAGTTCGTGTATCTGGGTAGCTGCATAAGTGCTGGTGGTGGTGTGAGTGATGAGATCAATGCACGTATAGTGAAAGCCAGAGCGGCTTATGCCAATCTGGGCCACCTTTGACGCCTTCGTGATATTAGTCTGGCTGTAAAAGGTCGGATCCACAACGCGTCGGTGAGAGCAGTTTTGCTCTATGCTTGTGTAACCTAGCTTCTCCGAGTTGAGGATGTTAGACGACTCTCTGTGTTTGATTATCGTTGTTTCCGAAGGATTGTTGACATTCAGTGGCAACACCATGTTAGTAATGCAGAGGTTCGGCATCGTGTGTTCGGGCGCAGTGACGATAATGCAATTGGGGTTGCCATCTTGAAACACCGACTTCGGTGGCTTGGACATGTTCTACGAATGTCGTCCCTGAGAATTCCACATCGTGCATTATTTGCCGTCGCCGGGACTGGTTGGAAGAAGCGGAGAGGTGGTCAGATTTCTTTCTTTTTTGACGACTTGTAGGAAATAAACCATTCTATTCTATTCGAGTTGGTTATTTAAGATATTTAGCTACTTTATACATGGAATACCTTCTGATGATGAACTGCTGGAAAGTGTTTTCTTGGTAATGTCCTTCAGCCTATTGGACAATTTTTGATTGTGGAAATAGGTTGCACATACAGTCATCGGATTTGTGAAAAAGTTTTTGTAATGAGTAAATATAGATTAAGTCTTTGTAGTTGAAACAACAATGCAACAATGCAAGCATGTTCGGGATGCGATTCTTCCCCTCGAAATGAAAAATGTTGCTTCAGGATTGGGTTACATCGACACCCGAACTAGTGATAGGGAGTGAAGTAGTTAAGTGTGTCGACCGCTTCACTTATCTTGGAAGTCTCATCAGCCCTTGTCTGGTGTGTGACGAAATCTCAGCACGAATACAGAAGTCTCGACTAGCTTTTACCAACTTGCGTCCTTTATGGCGTAGGCGAGATATCCGTCTATCAACCAAAGGATGTGTTTACTGCGCAGCAGTTCGTTCCGTCCTACTTTATGGCAGTGAAACATGGCCGGTAGGAGTAGAGGATATCCGTAGGCTACTAGTATTTGATCATAGGTGTCTTCGAAACATTGCTCGTATATCATGGGACCATCGAGTAAGTAACACAGTTGTTAGGAAACGGGTACTAGGTAAGGATGGCAAATCAGTTGATGAAGTAGTGAAACTTCATCAGTTGAGATGGCTGGGACACGTGTTACGTATGCCCAACGACCGACTGCCTCGACGTGCTATGTTCAGTGGTATAGGAGTAGGTTGGAAGAAAGCTAGGGGCGGCCAAACCAAAACCTGGCACAAGTCCATGAAGTCACTGACAAGTGAACTGAGTCATGTTGGTAGGTGTAGACTACCTGGTTGGGGACCGCGAGATGATAGCAACCGATGGTTAGAGACCCTGAATGATATGGCTCAAAATCGTTTGCAATGGCGCAGGTGCATCCACTCTCTGTGTTCTCCCAAATTCTAATCTTCTGAATTCTCCATGTCCCTTTTTTTCCTCTTTCCAAATTTATTTCACTGTATTACACTCTTTAAATAACATCTCCAAACCCTAATCTTCCCGATTACTGCTTATAATCTTACTACCTCTACCACTACGGGATTTGAATCGACAACTGCATCTCTGTGCTAATGTGGTGTGGCAACTCGAACTGATGTACGTACGTACGAAGTTCTACGTTGTTACTGACTGACTGAGTTGAAACTTGATATTTGGTAGTGATCAATTACTGAAGGGAAATCTGATGTCTCATAAACAGTCTATTATTTCATAGGTTTAATTTTCACACTGCTGATATATTTTTCATGAATTCTTTCTTCAAGGCTGTCTACACTTTGAATTTTCGTTATGTTTTAGTTGACTTTTTAGCCCGTCAACTCCCTATCAATCAAATTGCACATTATCTCATCTCTTTTCTTGCTCGTCAGTTGAGTGGCCGATCACGTCATGTTGAGTTATATGTTCGCTGGACACATTCTATACTCCGTTCTCATGCGTTGAACTTGCGAAGAATAGCTGCTAATTCAGCTTTATCTGAATGTACGAATTCTAAGGAGTCAAGAAATCTTCCGAATAACGAATCAATAGACAACAAAAAGGAACTTTGTAATCCAGGTTTTTTAACTTTACAAGGTGAATGGGCAACTTGCCAAGCAAACTTAGTTCGCTTACAGGCTAGTCTGAATCATGTAAAGTCTAATATAATCAAACAGTGAGTTATTTTATCGATTGATCCAGATCGTCTTTCCATTCTCTAAATATTATTATCATTCTTTTAACATTTTATTAATCTTCTTACAATTAAGTTGGTGTGTTTTATACTTATTTATCGCTGCATTTAAACCTAGGCTGGTGAATTAAATATTTTTACAAGTGAATACTCACGAACATTTTCACACAGTTAACCGTCAGTCATGTGTTGTGTGTTTCTTGGAAGTTCTGTTTTGTTGCTTAAACGAGGTTAAGTGGTTGAGTTTCAACAGCGACATAGTTGGAGTGCGAGCTACACATGATCAATTAGCTATATCTACTGGTATTATATACTTCATTGTGTGTATATTTATATATTATTTTGATCTATTTTGGGGTCTATCGTATTCGTGTTATTACTTGCGTCGTTCGATTCATGGTTTCCAGTAGCAAGGACCCAAAATGGTCAACTATATTCCACAAGTGTAAAAGGGTTCTACTAGAACTATTCCATCACTGGTTTACTATTAATCCTTACTATTAAGATAAAGCCTATGAATACATTAACATTTTTAGGTGGTTCCCAGTCGTTCGAGATTTCATATTTGAGTGACCTGATATAATTGAACAACTTCAAGGTTTTCATCTTAGAACTGATTTTTTTCCCAACAATATATATATATATATATATATATATATATATATATATATATATATATATATATATATAATACTCCCATTTTAATTCTTTTAATTTGGTCTTTGGTTATTTCAGTATGAATTCGTTGTTTTAATTTCTTTTTACTTAGTTTGATTTAGATTTTTTTCCTAACTAATTTGTTAAATCTATATCATTTTCTTCACTCATTGTTTTTTTAAAACTTCACATCAACTGATTAAGTGTTGAGGGCAATGATTTGTTATAACTTATGGCATGTGTGCTCTGTTAATGTATAACGTAATGATACCGCCAATTAGAGAGCAGTGAGTTATCGATCGGACTAGTGACGCGTAAAACCCATGAGAGCAGTCTAGAGTCCTTATTGGTCCTACTTCCTGCCTAACCCATCCAGTTAAGTCCAGAACACCAATCTCAGCCTCTGCGATATGAATCATTTATTTCAAGCATACTGGGTTTATATACCAACCAGACAGACCACATCGTAACATAAAATAGGAAAGAACATTCTTACAAGTTTTAGCCAAAAGTGGCTGTGAGTGTAGGAGGTAGTAATTATTAGACAGGGCATAATTCAAAAATGGTGAATCGTATAATAATAGTTCACAGGTCAAAATAAAGCTCATAATAAGAGGGACATGAATATGAATAGTCTAGTTATTTAACAATTATTTGATAAAAATATACTCATAGTATTGGTTCATAAATGGATCCCAAACGTTACCATTCATTATGCTTATCGGGACATAACACAATTAATAGTATAACTTTAATAATCATGCTATTAATTTCACTATCTTAATTATACTTCTTCGTAAGAGATAGAATATTTTACTCATTTTGAACTTTATTTGGCCATTGTTAATGCTGCATAAGTGAAATGTGTTGTGTATTCATAAGACGGTAGATGTTAATAAACTTTTATGTCATTCATAAACTTCACTAAAAATAAAGTTACGATTATTTCATCAGTTTATCAGTTGATTATATTCTTGATTACACTTCTCAATCATGAATGTTATTAGAGTAAGTTATAACCTTAAAGAAGTGTTTTTCATTTTCTAATAAAAATGATTATTCGTTTACTAGATTTCTCTATTTAAATGATATTCTGTATATGTGTACCCCTTCTTTTATTTCTTATATCCAACGGGTTGTTTTCGAAGCTAATTTAGTTACAATCAATTCAGTTTTTCCACCCTTTACTTTTCCTCTATTTTCTAATCTTCACTTCTTTGTGGTTTTTTCTCTTGTTTCTCTAATTAATTTGATAAAGAATGACAGATTATTTTGATTAAAAAAGCTACTGGAGTCAATTCTGTTGTTAATCAGATAAATAAATAAAATTAACTAACGATTATCTATCATTTCTGTCTTACATTTTCTAATGATTTTGCTGCTATTGTTATCATTGTTGTGTGAATAGATTGACGTAAGTCAACATTGTTTCTGTTATTCCTACCTCTTTTCTTTCGTCTTTTTAAATTCTTTTGTGTGGTGAAGTGTTTACGCTGTAAATTATGTTGCATTTGTTGAAAGAGGAAAAATATAGTGTTTGTTGTCAGTTTTTTGTTACCATAGTATCAAGTTAGTGTTTTCCTCGCCCGTTGATCTATTGTGCTTGTGACTTGAGATATAGAGATAAGTTTTTTTTAAAGATGAAAGTCTATAGAAGTAACTAATAATTTTTAATAACATCATACTGTTTCTTATTCATATTAATCAATTCTTTACCAGTGTTGTATAACAAAGGTTGAATAGATGATTCAAGTTCTGGGAACAAATCGTGACAATGTAGATCCTTGTGGATGAACTATAATGATTTATAGCGACTTCGACCGTTTTCCATTGATGTAGTGTTTTATACTAAAACTTGTTTAGGTAAGCTTACTGACTAGGTACTAATGCATAACACTTAAGGTGCTGTATTGAATACTTTAAAAAAGAAATCTGTCATACCTAAAACTGCAACCATCAGGTGTGATAACGAATCATCTACCTAATAAGGTGGAGCTGCGAATGAAACTGTAGCCACTAAAATCCAACAAAACACTCAACACAAGATTAAAATGATTTTCCAGTCTGAGAATTGGGTAGATAAATATGACTAACCGGCTATTTTTGTTTTCTGCAATAAAGTCATTGTTATACACTTCATTATCAGCAGTCTTCATAATGAATGTGATATCCATCGATGTGAACATTCTAACAGTTACTTCAAAATTACTGCCTATTGTTATACTTCTCATTTTGTTCGGAATGAGTACAAAATTAGCTCAAAAATCTAGCCAACTTACGTGCCGGTTATCACTATGTCGATTTTCTCTTCTCTTCTCTCAAGTTGTTGAAACGACGTCACGCACAACTGAGGACCTTAATAGGAGGAGATCGTGTACTTACTGTTAAAACCTTATAAAGTGCATTATCATGTCGACATACATACTGATAGATGGTTTTTAGTTAAGATTTATCAACGCTCCTAGCAATGCTGCATCTGGAAGGGTTGACAGATTTTTAAAAAATTTTAAAATCTTAGTTATTTCCTCAATCTCTGTTCTTGGTACTATCATTTTTTTCACGCTCCGTTTTTATCACAAAAGTCTTCACATTCTCCAGTGCCCTAATGTAACATGATTTTGTAATAACTGTTGAAGTTCTTACAAGCGCGATAAAGCCTGTGAGTTGTGAGAATAATCAAACTCTTAAAATGTTCATGATTCCATGCTCAAAACATAATTCGGATTAATAAAAAAATTTTTAAAGTTTGTTATTATTTCAATTCTTACACTCATAAATCTGCTAATTTTCACATTTTTTTCCAGTTGCGAAAATGTGGACAATTTGTGGAATTATTACGAAAGTTTATTCAAATTGTATCACGAAAAGGATGATAATAATGTACAGAGTGAAAATATCATGGAATATAGTCCGAGCTAATTAGTTTCATATTGTACTTATTCACTCTTACATTATGAAAAGTGCGTGTATTTATAATTAATATAACTCGATTTATTGACAATATAATCACATCTTTGTTCGTAGATTATCCATTTATCGTGAATTGTATCTTCAAAACATACTCATAATCAAAATGTTTGTAAATACAAGTTCTTTCAGAAGTGTTCATGGTTGTTATCAATAGTCGGAACTAATCAAAAACATTACTCTATACATAATCCCTAAAAAACGTGTAGATATCTGAATCATATCGTACAATGATAATAAGACTTTCTAAAATCCTAAACAAAACTACCTGTTTTACATTCTCCACTAGGAACAATGGAACCCCCAGGCTTAAATATCACGCAGATGCAGAATAGTTGGGTCAAAGTGTCGTAAAATAGCTGTATACAAACTACCGTTTGTTAATTCTATGGGATAATTACAGGTCAGAAGTAGCCAGTCTTTATGTAATAGTAATACCAAGACAATAAACTTGGGACTTCTTGTGTTACAGTTTTCTGAACCAATAGTCAAACTGGTCATTTGGTGAATGTGTAAATATTGAAGGATGATTAGCATCCTCGTTTTGAAGGAAATTTTTATATTATGACAGCAATTCAGCAACTTGACTGAATCCACAAAATGTATGTAACTTGTTACTTTAATGTGATTTTGGAGAAATTTCTAAGTAACACTTGGCGCATTTACAATTAAATTAGTTTTATGTTTCGAAATATTTTAGAATTGCGATAGATACGTTAGTTACCCTGACTAAAGTGACTTACTTATTTATTTACTTACGCCTGTTACTCCTAATGGAGCATGGGCCGCCGACCAGCATTCTCCAACCCACTCTGTCCTCCGCCTTTTCTAGTTCCATCCAGTTCTTGTTCGTTTTTCTCATGTCTATCTCCGTTTCACGGCGTAATGTGTTCTTTGGTCTTCCTCTTTTCCTTTGGCCTTGAGAATTCCATGTGAGGGCTTGTCCCGTGACGCAGTTGGGTGCTTTCCTCAATGTGTGTCCTATCCACTTCCAGTGCTTCTTAATTTCTCCCCCCGGAAGGACTCCAGGCGGAGTTGATTTAGGTGACTGCAGGTGCTTAATTTTAGTTACAGTCGTTATTTCCAAAGGCTTCGATAAAAAAATGAAATAATACACGGAAATTTGTCTTGATAAGAAACTTGTACTGCTTTTTCTTTTATCCTGGGTCCCGTACTAGGGCGAAACGGCTGTCCAGTGCTTCTAAGTTTTCACTTGTGGTCTAGCTTACATCGACTCATGAATTCAACTAATAATTCACTACAATCTCCACAAAACTTCATTCTAGTAAAATTTAAATAAAGTGAAAACAAGATTTTGTGGAATAACATAAATTCATTATATTTCAAGGCTTCTCATCAGTTGCGAGTACCCTAAATTTATATTAGTGATATTATTATAGGAAGTTTTACATACCGTAATCAACGAAGTTGAGTTCTAAATAAAATAAGAAACACGAAGAGGAAACGACATATTTAACTTAACATTTAAGCTTTCTTAGTATTTATATGCTGAAGATGAGGGATAGAAGTGGATTCATGAATGATAATTAAAAGACAATGAGTGAAATTAAATTGTTAGTAAGAAGTGATAATCGAGGCACCCAGCCGACATAAAATTAAAGCTAACGTCTTGAGTGAATATCAGTGGGATTTTTTAAGTTATAAAGTACAATAAAGAGCAGGTAGCTAGAAAATAATATAACTATCTTACCATGGTAATGAGTTCACTACAAGTTTTTCTGTGCACAAATTTAAATCGAAAGTGCTTCATGGCAGTTGCCTTCAAAGCGGTTTTTGCTGCTTGTTAATTATCTTGGGCGGTTTTGTGATGTACACTCTCCATTAAATGTATAGTAATTGCATTTGTGAATCTTTTCAGGTATAAATTACGTAGAATATATTTAGAATACCTTGTAGATGGTCTTTTTTTCAGTCTTTCCTATGTACTCGTAAATGTAAATTTATAAAATATTTGGTGACCCCAGGAAGTCACTGACCCACTTTTAATTGGTTTAATGAACATCTGGTGTTT